GTTTACCCAGTGCAACGGAATCTCACAAATGGAATATTTTTACCCGTTTTTGCAACATTTTTCATCGATGCTCCGCTGCTGGTCGTAGCCTGTTGTTATATAGCCTATAGCCTTCCTCGATAAATGCACTATCCAATACCACAATATTTTTTCAAATCGGAACAGCAGAGCAATGGTGCATTCGGTAAAACTTATCCTAAACTGCGCAACAATTTTTTGACTTGGAATGGAAGGTTTATAATTTTATTATTATGTAGAAAATCATTGTGTATACAAGCCTTTGAACAAAAACTATAGTCTACACTACAGCTCAACACCGAAGCGAAGCGAGGGCGGGCCACTAGTTGGTAATAAAAATAATATATGTAGCAATTTTGTTACTTGTTTAATGTTTTATTAATATCTATAAATATCCAGTTCATTCTGCCCTTAATGACCGAGCTATAGGAGGTTAGTTTTTCAAGATAGGATAGTTCTATACTGAACTGTCCTGGCTTGGAACATGCTAGTTCTGTTTATATGAGGCTAGTACTATTGCAGTGACTGTGTTAACCACACGTGCACCGTGAACTGCATGCGAGAAAAAACAATTCGACTGAAACAGTTACTCCGAAAACTGTGCCTAGTGCAAATGCACTAGACAAGGCCGATCAGACAGGCCCCAAAAGAACCACCAATGTGTATAAAAGAATATACATATACTGTGATATTTGTGTATGTAAGTCTAAAATTTATGTAACATCTGTAAGATAAAAAACGAAAGGCGTGGTTCAACTGAAAACTTGCTTCACTGGCCACATGAAGCTAGTACACAAGTCAGGATAGTAAAATCAGATGTGGGGGGCGGTATTGTCCTAAAAAATAGAACTTCATCCTAGGTATGTTCGATATCGATTCGATTAATCGATTACTCGTTTGTAAAATTTTGCGCATTAATCGATTAATCTATAAATTAAAATAATCGATTTAATCGATTATTTTACATCGATTAATCGATTTGCAATGACCTTCATTATGGTCTTGTCAGTTCATACATAAATAATGCCTAAACATGAAACTTCTCAAAAATCATCATAACAAGCTTCGACAGCCGACAGCTTTGTCCATACAATACCCACTGTTGCTTTAGTCTTTAAAACCATCTCTGTCTATATGTAATAATGTATAACGTTTATGTAGTTGAAGCTACGTATGTTTCTTCTAGATGTCAAACTGGAAGAAAATGTTCATGGTGGAAAAAGACCATAGTCATTAGTCATTTATTCCATAAAAACAATATTACATTGTGTCGAAATGTTAAGTACCAACATAGAAATAAATCCCAAAAACAAAACCCTTACATAGCCTGGGATACTATTAAAAACCAATTTCCAAATATTTATACCCAGTCAGGTCATAAATTCTGTCACATGTTTAATATAATATAATTGAAACAAGTTTATTCATTATGTAACCATTTATGTACCAAAATGAACTTAACAAAACATAGATTCTTATTACGATAAAGTTTATTCAAAATAACCTCCGTGATTTTCAATACAGGCCTTCAATCTGCGCGGCCAGTTGTCTATCACGAACGAGGTCCATGTCAATATCGGCGGCTGCCTTAATCAAGGATGTCTTGAGTGACTCCAAATTGGGATGAGGCTTTGAGCACGTCTTTTCCTCCAAGTGTTGCCATATCTTGTTATCTAACGGACTCAAATCTGGACTGGAGGAGGGCCAGTCTTCGTACCGGATGAAGTCGATTTCACAGTCGATTTTCAGTCTTGTGTGCTCTTCGCTCTATGAGTTGGCGACGAATCTTATTGGTATACCCAGTGCCCGTTATTGAAGATGGTATTTGAAACAGATTTCACAAGGTTCGTCAGGACTGTATTTTGATACACAACTGAATTCGTTTTTACACCTTTCTCACAAAAATGTACCTCTGTTAACCCCCAATAAGAAACTCCCAACCATACCATGAGTGAGGATGGAAAATGACCTCATTGGACACGGGGAATACGGTTGCTCGCTTCTTCACTACTGTGTGCGTACACCTTATCATTTTGTTTGTTGTAGCTCTCTTTTACGGTAAATTTTTTGTCATCTGAAAAAAGAATTTCTACAAAGCGCGGCATCTCTTCAGTCACAGGTCCATTAGACGAGCATTCAAACGATGTCCTGTTTTTCTTCGATATATCTAAAGCTCTAAGTCTTCATTTAACACCCTTTTCACCGTGGTTCTACTTAACCCCATCTGAAGGGCCAACAGTTTTTGCTTACGTTTGGGATTTCTTCGAACTCGCGCCTTCACAGCTTTTATCACACCTGGCAGTGGCGGCGTTAGGCGTCGGTGACGTCGGCCACCGCCGACGGCCTCGTGCCTGAGGGGGCCTCGCAAAAATTTTTTACAAGTTACCTATTTATTTTCGTTTCTCCTGGGGGCCAATCGCCTAACTGGATTGCTTTGGAAAACGCTATCGCTTACGATTTCATTTTGTTATTTCTAGCCGCCTGAGGTTTTCAAATGCCTCGCGCTCTTTTTTTTTCTTTTGCATTGGTAATAACAATGTTAAAGAAAATGAGCGTGAGGTATTTGAAAACCTTCGGCGGTTAGAAATAACAAAATGAAATCGTAAGCGATAGCGTTTTCCAAAGCAATCTGGTTAGGCGATTGGCCCACTGGCCTGGCTTGGGTAACCGACCCCGAACAATTCGGGGAAAAAGCTAAGCAGATGATAATGACTTTTATTATTTTCGAACACGTGCGTGATGGAAGCGAGTAGTACTTTACGGGTATTCAGAATCGTCTGTCTGGTAACACTATTTTTGTAATTAAATTTCTATGTTTGTAATTATTTTTGTCATCATTTGATTATCAACAATAAAACTCGTTTACTCATACGTTATTTTATAATTTGGCTCACTTAATATAACTGTTTTTTACTGCGAATTAAAATAGACCTCGCGAACTTGATGTCGCCGACTTCCACGTGTGGTCTAGCGCCGCCACTGACTGCTGGAGTTCTAACAGACCGAGGGCGACCACTTCTTGACCTGTCATCTACACTAGAGTCTTCATTGTATCGTTTGATGGTACGATAAACGAATCTTTTGGTGAAATTTTTCAGTATGCCTTGCAGCTTAAGAATGGCTAGAAGAATTTCGACGCGGTCCGTGAGGACCGCGGTAGCATAATTAATAATAAATAATAAAAATTGACTGGTTCTCATCTTAGGATGTTATTTTTTCTGTCATCCATAGAATGGAAATGTTAGTGATTAAATAAACATTCTTATTTTAAAATTGTAATTAATATCTATGTATTTTTTTTTTGTATTTCGACGGAACATTTATTTTCTTATAAAGTCTGGAATTTTTCTTCGATTAATCGATATTATAAGTGCAATTAATCGATTAATTGTAATCGACACTAGAAATAATCGATTACTTTGCTTTCGATTATCATCCATACTTCATCCTATTATAAGGCTGAGCGCAGATTAGAGTCACGACAGTCTCAAGACAGACTATTGCTTAACAAAAATTATGAAGATGCGCACATTCGAAACGAGACGTCTCATAGACAAAAAAGTCTTATGTACACAAGAACTGCAAAGCGACAAGTCTGACTAACGATTGTCCGCTTCCCTTTGTAATGTATGCGAGGGCGCACACCAACGACAAAATTGTCTAGCGATTAGGGATGATAATCGATACTGAAAGAAAGTATAATACATACGATAAAATAAGTAATATGTGGGTCCATAAATTTTGACAAATTATCAAAGATAGATTGATACATTCATTCGAAATTACTGGTAAAACTTTCTGGGCTGGTGCCTTAATTTCTATAAAATAAATAATCGGTGAAATCTATTCTGATACTGATGAAAATGGTGTGTGTCGCATCATAGACAAAACAGTTTCGTCTTGGTGTGCGCCTTGTGGTAGACACAACTGTTTCTTTTTAATTGTAAAGCTGTCTCGTCTATGTAAGACAAGATTGGTGTCAATTCTGGCGTGATTCTCTAAACTTAAAACTAAATTTAAGGTCAGTCTCACCTTTTCATTCTGTATAGAGTAGGACAAGGATGCACTGTTGTCAAATTTAAGTTTAGCTTTAGAGAATCATGCCAGAATCGACATCATTGTCTAACAACTGTCGTGACTCTAATCTGCGCTCAGCCTAACTGTCCTGGCTTGTAAACTAGCTTACTAGCTTAGAAATGAAGCTGGTTTTGTCTACACGAAGCCAGAAGTACTAGCTTGCTAGCTCACTGCCACTAGCTTGCTATCATAGCTTGAGAAACTAGCCTCGTGTAACGCGGGCATAAGAGATCTGCTCTTAAACGAAAAAATGGCCTAAACAAGCAAGGTGCTCAATAAAATAACTGTTTATTATATTTTCCCGGTAAGATGAGTTAACTAGAAAGGCTCAAACAAAAAGTTTACACCTAGTAGGATAGGTACAATCGAACCAACTGATTCCTGACTCACTTGCTCGATAATTCGCATAAAATGTCAAAACAGAAAGTTTTCCTTTGTAGAGAATGCGTTATTGCCCTCGGGACCTTCTAATAACAAGAAAACTGTGTTAATATGGATCAAAGATACCTGAAATTTGAGCTTTATTTTCAATGCAATATAAATAAAATCATGTTACAGATAAAATTGGAATAGTAGTTAGAATTTCGAAATAACTTTCCAAATTGTGAATGTAAGTAATAGAAACTCTTTCAATTTCTTGATATTTTAAAAAACGTTGGTAAAGTAATAGGGAAATCCTTAGTCCATAGGCAAAACTCCAAATAATTTAATATCTTTGTTTAATGTCACAGAAAGGCAGCAAATATATTGTACATCCCGGCAAACTTTCTGAGCAACGACCATAGACCACGAAGCCTGGGCAGTAGTTTTACATACAAAAACGTATACTGCGCGAATTTTTGTGTGTGGTTTTGTTTGTCGCTTGTTTGCCGCTACCTATAATAGTCGTATTTTTTTCTTTTCAGCGGGCTTATTTGCGGCAGCCGGATTCTACCAAATGGCTGTCTGGGCCATTGGAAAACACCGTAACTACAAAAAAGAATTCCCCGAATACCCCAAAGGGCGCAAAGCTATTTTACCATTTATTTTATAAATGTTATTAAATAGGTAACGGCAGCGCTGTTTTGTCACAAAATGCACTGCTGATGATGTTTCCGTAGGCATGCAATGTATTTTCAGATAATTTCAGCGGGTAGATTGTACAATATTGATATACTACTATATTAATGACGGAAACAGTTTTAATTTTAACTTATTCTTATTTTATTATATATATATATATAGGTGCGGGGTTTGAAAGGGTGAAGGTTTGCGGTTATGAAAGATAAGAGATTATCTATGCAATATTAAACCATGATCTATTTTTATTTACAAAGGTTTAATTAGTTTCTTAGTGGTGTGATTTGTGGAAACGAATAAGTTAATTAATATTTTATTAATCAGTCATTAATTAAGAACGTTTAATGATATCTTTTATTTCCAGTTTTAGCTTACATATTATGTGTTACTTGCTGTATTTGTGAATTTTGTTCTAAATTTATTTTTTCATTAAATATGTAATTGTCATTTTTTACTCGGAAGCTATGCATTTATCCGCGCAAATAAAAAGATTTTCTAAATTACTTCTTTATTATTATCGTCTGTAGACAACTCAAAAAGGTTCTGACGTGACGGAAACAATTTTATTTCATGCCACTCTAATCCCTGGTAAAATGTATTTTGGTTCTAGCATTATGTAATATGTTTGACAAAACTAAACACCGACCTTAAAAACATACAAACTTAGCTCTACTAGCATTTTTTTGTCTCGATATTTAAATACGTTCCTTTCTCACTTTAAATTATAGTGCCCGGTTTTGGCCCTCTTCCGCTACCCAACTACCCAAAAAAAATCCATAGTAATTAGTAAATGTAGTTTTATTATTCCAGTTACAATTAATTATTTTATAGCACAGTGTGACCTAAACCCGCACTTTACGCACGCTTTTCCGTGACCTAAGTTGCCTATTTCTGCACGGTGTGTTAATGAATTGACCAACTTCACTCATGTAGAATTAGTACATTACGATACGCGTAACTTAACTATGCCAATCAAGGAATAAACGTTCATGGATACATTGAAATTCTATTTTGTTGTAATGATATTTGATTTTTTCCTTTCAAAATGGTAATCTGAACCGGAATTCTTTCTTTTCAGAGTTTGACTTGCAGTCTGTATTGCAATTCTTTGTGATTGCAATACATGATTTTACTTTCAAAACACTAATCGCAACCCTCGGGGGGCCTCCGGCCCCCCCGAACCCCCCCCCCCTCTTGCCCGAGTCCGGGGCGGGTTTATGTCACACTTGCTATAAAATAGTATACGATACTTGTGGCCTAAGTTGTCTATTACTGCACGGCGTTTAGCCGTACTTAGGTCACGCGTATCGTAATGTACTATTATACTATCGTTTTCATTATTTTATAGAGTCAGATTCTAAAGGTTTCTGTGGTTCATCCATACATCGCATCTTCCCAAGCAATCGATCGTTTTCTTCCTTGAGAGCCACGATTATCTCTTCTCTCTCCTGTTGAAAAAAATATTATTTATGGCAAAACGGTAATTTTATGTAGAAAGGGTGGTAGGTAGACAATCATTGGTCCGCCTGGTGGTAAGTGGTTACCATAACCTATACATGATTTCCCATACAATAGTATCATTTGCGCATTGCTTAGACTGATCCCCTCATTCTTACCCCGTGAAGTCCTGAATCTTACTCACTAATGCTCCTCCAACACCTGCCCGACAAAGCTTTCACTACTTAATGCGCTAAATTAATCATTGCTAAATGTGAGGTTGTACGCTCCTTCACCTGCTGCACCTCTAAATAGGAAGTAAAGCAAAGAAAGAGTTTAAATTCAACTCAAAAAGTTGACTCATTTAGGTAGTTATCTTTATTTTTATATATAGTCAGATAGGCAAATTACTCTACCCTACACAAGTGGTTATAAAGTCCAAACATCAACCATCCTTAACATGCCGGCCTGCAAAAATGCTTCTTCACGCCTCTCTTAAAGGACACCAGATTGTAGGAAGGAGGGAACACGCGCGCGGGCTAAGAATTCCACTTACGAATAGTACGACAAAGAAATGAGACACCAAATTTCTTTTTTCGTGTAGGAATAGTGGCCACAGTAAGTGGCAACGTTGGCCAGCGCGCGTGGTCCTCTGAAGAAAAGGTGATGGAGGAATAAGGGAGAATGACTCCTCAGAACACTCGCCGTGGTATAGTCGGTAGAATGCGCTTAATTATGCCATATTTTTATTTCAAGACAAAAAAAAACCAAATATATCTACGTAACTTCCCTCTCCACTATTCAAACGTCAAATTGGATACCTTTGTTTACCTTGATTACCTTTACGATACCGAATCAAAAAGCGATCTAAAATAAATACTTTCTTAGTATCATATAAGAGCAGGCATTATTGCCCCCACAACCTCTATAACGTGTGAAGCAACCTCTTAACAAAAAACTGACAGTTATGTTTTGAAAGGACAATGTTAAAATTAGCCTAAGAACCGACACAAATTTGGCATTTATGATAATTCTTTGTATATTTTTTGCGATAATAATCAGTATTTAGATTGTGACGGACACTTCCAGTTAAGTAAGCTAAATTAAAAAGTTAATAAATAATTTGAGACAATAAATACCATTTTATGTGTATAATCTATGGCAGCGCTGCAAACAAAACACTCTTTCTTCCTAATGCCGGCACTTCACTTCGCTATTCGTATTTGCTATTTTAAAACAGGACATCAGTGTGTTCTTTTCATTCCTTATTAAGCATGACAAGGACAAACTTGTCAAGTGAAAGGCCGACATAAAACTCGTTACTCTGTGGTTTTCGTGCATTCCAAAGAGTAGTTTAATATACCGGAAAGTGCATTCTCGTTTCGGATTATCCGTTGTGTGTGTTTATCTGCGATTGTTTTTCCTTTAATTTAACTATTTCGGCTCTCTAATATGCCATCGATGTTACCAAAGAGCAGAGCCCTTATTACCAAGTGCTAGTGAACCTGTGCCACAACATCCTGAGAGGATCATACTTTATATATATACTTCATATATCATACCAAATTATTCAAGAACACATTCAATACACATTCACGCTGCATATTTACACAATATACATGTGATATACAAATAAATACAATATGATAAAATTATGTGAAAAATAGTCAATAAATAAGAAGCAAAACTACAGTTTTTATTTTATTCATGATTCCTACCTAACCAAGTTTTTCTTAATAGTTATTCTTTAAAATCGCACCGAATAAAATGAATTAGTTGCAATATTAATTCACTTCATACTGAGTTCATACTAAGTTCATAGGTTGACCTATGTTTCATTGAATATTAAACATAACCTCAAAAAAAATAGTTTTCCTAATAATTTAAGTTCTCAGAAGTGTCCGTCAATAATCTTGGTTTTTACAGTCATTTACTTACGATATTGAACCTAGAAAATAATATTTCATGATTGTTGGTTCTTAGGCTAACTATGTATGGACGCTGAACAATGTCATTTTTGGCGCTAACGCAATGAGGATCCGTATGAGAATGCAGATTTATAGAGCTAAGGATTCCATAAAATACAGCGGTTAAATTTTTGTTCTACGACAAATTTTGTCAAAGTTATGACCAAATTACTAAACGAATTTTTGGCTGGTCGCGTGGTGGCTGTGACGTCGCAGAGCTCTAGCGCTTGGGCGCGAGCGTGCGTAGAGACTCTACTGAAGTTCGACCGAAGTGAACCACGATCGAGCTTTGAGACGACACACGTTTCGGCCGCCGCGCCGCGCCGCACAGTGGGTGAAAAAAAGAGGTCGCCTTTCATAGGATTTTTGAAAAAATAAAAATGTTTATTATCCGTTTAAGGTGTGCGGTTTCATTAGACATATCAGTACATTGAATAATAAAATAGTTTGGGGAATTTCCTTTGAATGTAACACCATAAAGCACGGGCTTTAGAATTTCAAATGTATGAAAACGGAATTTGTTATGTTCATAACTTGTCTCGGTCTTCTACGGTCAAGCTGAAACTTATAGAGATTATTACCGGGTCTGTTACAAAGCCATATGACCTTTGACCTTCACCCCGGACGGCCCCGTTCAAAAGATACAATTTGTTCAAAATGCTTATTAGGGTAATATTGCTTTACGGGGTTATGTGTCTCAATAAACAGTTTGTTTATGTTTCTTGCCCAGCATTTAGTTATTAATACAACACAGATTATTATCTAATAAAACTATACATATATATATAGATAACGACACCATACAACTTTAAATAAAAGCGTCCTTATTCAAAAGATATGGAATTAATATAAATAGGTAAAAGAAATAGTTTTAACAAAAAGAAAACAAGAATGCAATATTGTAAAGATTTACAATGAAGTCGTTTACAGCCTACAATTTAATCTTTTGTTTGACAATCGCTTAAAAGCCGCGCGCCATTAACGAGAGCATCATTACATATTAACAATACAAACTCTATTGTGGCAGGTTTTGAGGAATTCAAAAGGTTACCCACAGTCATTACCTGCCATTGTTTGCCTATAATAATTAATTTTGTCAAACAAACATACTTACACTTACAATGTCTATCTGATCTGAGGGTTTGATCAAATATGTTTATTTTGGGATACCTAGATCTTTAACTGACTAAGCGTAAAATGAACAAAGTGTTTTTCCAGATAAACTAGCTGGTTATTAATATTAGTAAATGTAGTAAGGGAGTTTCTGACATGTTACTGCCAAAAGAGAAAATAAACTATTTACATTATGAATAAAACAAATTTATTAACATCAATGTTTTTATTTACAAAACTAAAATTACTAACTAAGCTTGATATCATAAATTAAATAATGCATAATAAGGAAGCCACAACTGTATAAATTACTACACACATACAAGCTAAAGTATAAAAGATTATTAGAACTCAAATTGGCTACAACAGTTCTTAAATACGTAAACTGTTTATGTTAATATTATACAAAGATACAAAAAAATGAAGATACAAAGTTTGATATAATTTGATTTGAAGGAAAGAACACATACTAATCAAAATCATAATCAGATACATTACCTACATCTACAAACTCTATATTTTCCTTATCTTCACTAGAAGTTAATAATAATGATTTAGCTTCATTTGTGAGAGGTTTATTTCGTTGACATATTTTAGGTCTGAAACTTGATAGGTATGGATTAGACGATATTAACAAATTATTGATAATATCTTCATTTGTTGCAATCTTGCTAGATTTACGCGAGTGGAAGGTTCTGAATTTTTTAAAATCTTTGTTACGAGCTTCAGAGGCCTCTTCAGAGAGCTTGCCGATTGGTATAAAGTTATTGTGCTCTATTATATCGGCACCATGAATTAGTAATTTATGCACGCTTGAGGGCATATAATACCATTCATAGAGCTCGACATATTTGCGTGCTGTAGCAGCACAATATTAGCGGAATTTTTCCACGTCCACCAACTCTCCACATGAGATAGCCTGAAGAATCACTCCAAATCTTCTAACGAGTTCTTCATCAACACCCGTTATTTGCGCAGTAATTTGAGGATTAGCAAAAAATCTTCTTGCTGTGTTTCCATCGTTCCTTGTACCATCCCCTTGTTTAACTACGTCTACAAGTAGCCCCGTTTCAGTCCGGAATTGTTCTTAAAAGCCTTTTTTCTTTGGCTTAACTGTTGCTTCAAATCTTCGCCCTTAGCTTGCCATTTCTTGAAGTCGAGGCGGTAAGCAATATGTAAGATGCATTCCATGCATCTAATTCGTGCATGGAGGGAAGACAGACCGAACTTAAACATCTCTACAGACTGGGTTCTCTGAGTAACCTTGTCGATATCATTCATTTCTTTTGGTTTTGCTTTGCATATATCGCATGTAGCTGTGGATGTATCTGATAAATGTGAATTTACTTTACCATCAATCATCGTCATATGCAAAACGTGTTTTACATTTGCACCATCGATAACAGTTGGATGTAGAGCAGCAATTTCCGTATCAATTGAAGTCCTTTCTTCTTTAAAATTCAAATCGTTCTCTTTAGCAAACTTAAAATAAATGGGTCGACAGTAAAAAGTTGAAGACGCTTTGGGGTTTTCCCATATTATTTCATCAGTACCATCTCTCACCAGTTTTAACGGCACAAATGAACACATGAAGATGCTTGAATCATCGCCGTCAACTTTTTGTTGGTAGTTGCTGTGCCCAGATGCACCGTCAAACCCCCATTTACTGATAAGAGTCGAATTACTGCCAGTTAAATCAGTTTCCAGAGACTTTAATAGTCTCTTGACCGTAATATCTAAAATAGACTGAAGCTTAAGTTTAACTTCAGTCTCAGTTATTACCATGTCTTCTTTTTCAACGTAGCACTCCTTCTTCTCTTGCTTCAAAGCATCATACGATAGAAGTATATTACACCCCATGTCTCTCATTGTCTGCCTCAATGTAATATACTGCCATTTCGATAATTTCAGTGATGTTGAAATATCGAGTGCCTTATCGGTATGACAAGTTCGTTTCGTCGATTTCAGGCAGGCTCGCAGCATTGGCGCATCATCAGGCTTTTTAATCAAATGCTTCACTAATTCTACAAAGTCCGTTTGGTTTTAATTTTCCGCTTTCCTGGCCAGGGCATAAGCAAGTGTCTCAAAATCGTTTTCGGCAATGAGATTTTCAGTTCTTCTTCTTTTTTCCAGTGGACTCAAATTGGCAAATTCTTTTCGAGGACTAAATGTAGCAAATAATCAGTATAATGAGCCAGCAGTACTTCTTAATGCATTTATTAGTAAATCACAACAGAAATCACTCTACATAATAAAATTAATATATTTTCTCTCTAACACTCAAGCGCGTTGCTATGATACTCACAACTCGACTCTACCGCGCAAGCATGTAATTCGTAGGGTTGACGAACCTATATGGGGATGACCTAGGGTTGTTACTTCAGTAATTATTATAGGCTAACAATTGCAGGTAATGACTGTGGGTAACCCTTTGAATTTCCCAAAACCCGCCACAATAGAGTTTGTATTGTTTATATGTAATGATGCTCTCGTTAATGGTATGCGACTTTTAAGCGATTGTCAAACAAAATATTGTTGGCTTTAAACGACTTCATTGTAATTCTTTACATATTGTATTCTTCTTTTCTTTTTCTTAAAACTATTTCTTTTATCTAATTATATTAATTCCATATCTTTTGAATAAGGACGCTTTTATTTAAAGTTAAGTTGTATGGTGTCGGTATCTATATATATATGTATAGTTTTATTAGATAATAATCTGCGCTGTATTAATAACTAAATGCTGGGCAAGAAACATAAACAAACTGTTTATTGAGACACATAACCCCGTAAAGCAATATTACCCCAATAAGCATTTTGAAAAATTCGTATCTTTTGAACGGGGCCGTCCGGGGTGAAGGTCAAAGGTCGCATGGCTTCGTAACAGACCCGGTAATAATCCCTATAAGTTTCAGCTTGACCGTAGAAGACCGAGACAAGTTATGATCAAAATAAATTCTGTTTTCATACATTTGTAACTCTAAAGCCCGTGCTTTATGGTGTAAGATTAAAAGGAAATTCCCCAAACTATTTTATTATTCAATGTACTGATATGTCCAATGAAACCGCACACCTTAAACTGATAATAAACAATTTTATTTTTTCAAAAATCCTATGAAAGGGGACCTCTTTTTTTCACCCACTGTGCGCCGGTGAATATTGGCTACTATAAAATTAGTTATAAAATCGCAACGAATAAACCGATTTCGATGGTTTAAAAAGTGTATTAATTAAAAAGCTTTTTAGATCATTAAACTGTTGATTTCGAGTTGATTTGTCGCGCCGCAGTAGGTGTGAGAGGCATGACAGAAACGCGACACTAGCAATAGGTACAGTTATAGAGCCCCCCCCCCCCCCCCCTCCTAGCTACGCCCATGGTTAGTGTTATTTTACTGTGGCTGTGACTTCTGTTAAATGGAAGTTCTCTTGGTTGAGCGCTCCAATATGAAAGGTAACACACAGGTCCCCTATGCTATGTCCCATTTCTTGTTAATCAAACAACCATGGAGGTTAGAGAGATTCTTCTCTCCCCCTATGATCCCTACGTGCTAAAGCATTAGCCCGCCTGTCCCTGAAAATTTGTAGAATTTATAGTTCATTTTTCAGCCACCAGCAGCGCTGCCGTCGGTAAGTAATATCTGTGAATTGAGCTGTTTGTGAGTACAAGTAGATGAAGTTAGTTGAATAATATACAAATTTTCTTCGCGGCATTGGTAATTTCAAAGCAAATTTTTTTCTTTCAAGCGTCGCCGCGTCGCGTCGTCGTCGTGCTAGCGCCTGCGCAATGTCCACGCTGCGATGACGCGTCGCCGTTATGCCCGGTTTGCATTATACTTGATCGCAACTGACAACGCATCGCCGTTGCGCGGATGCTGGCACGATGACGATGCTCAAAAGATATAAGACTCCTTAGTATGGGGGGGTCTCTTAATACTTACTTTATTTTTTGTCCTAGCTGGGTTCATAACCTTAACTTAATTTTTATTGGAATATCTTTCTTACAGCTGTGATTATAGATGAAATCCTTACCTCAATTTTTTGTTTGAACTTCTCGTCAAGTTTCTCCCTGTCCTCTGTGACATGCTTGAGTTTGGCGCGGGCTGCGGCTGGTGGCACATAGCGAGCAGACAGTCCGAGGATCGACTCCATTTGGAAGCATCGAGTGCGTGTCGACTTTAATTCCGTACGCAAATTGTTGATTTCGGACAGCAGAGTGCAATTTTCCTAAATAAAAGATTTTTTATCAAAAGATATATATACAAGGTAATAAAAAACAAGAGTTTACAAATTAACATACTTAAGTACCTACTATTAATAGAAAAACTGGCCGATTGCGTCTCCGGCATGCCAATGTAAGTAGTTAGTTTCCCACAAAAACCGCAAAAGTATACTTAAAATTGTAACTTGTACTAAGGTAAGTGATACAAATAAGGCTTACCTAATTTCAAACATATCATATAATGATAAATTATTCGAAGAATGTGATAAATAAAAGCATTATTCCTTAATGGAATAATGCCATTATTCCTTGGTTCGTAAGTAATTAAGAAAAAATATTACCATCTATTATCAGAAAACACTTAAAAAGAGCTATAATTGTGGAACCTTAGCCTTAGGCCTTTTATAAACATAGTGACTTATGAAAGTACAAATTATATTAAAATATGTATTTCTGAGCCTTGAATCAAGTGTTTCAATGCGATCCTTGAACAACATTCTTATTAATTTTACTAAATATTTTGCTTAAATTGCTAGTCAGATTTGAAGTCGCATATTAACTAGAGATAAAGAATAACATAAAAAAAAACATATCCATACAAACAAAAATTAGCAAATTAACGTATCTTCTCGTAAATATTATTAAATATTGGATAATGAATATATTTTAATAGATATATTTGATAAAAATAAGGCCTTTTTTAAAAGTAGGCTTTATTTAGTACATTATACTTCATAAAAGTTATAAGTAGTATTTAAATCGCATATTCTAAAAAGTTAAATTTTAAGTCATAGTCAACTTTTTGATTATTTATATCACAAATTTTGTGATCCGTATACATTATATGAAACAAAACTTCAAAAATAACGTATTAAAATTCGTTAAAGGTTACGACAAATTAATAACGCGCTATGAAAAGCTCGTCCTTCACAAAGTACCGCCACTACTGACGCTATGAGCTCGAGCGGACCGCTCGTGCACAGTTTGCCGAGTTGTAGAACTGTCATCTATGCGTGTGTTGCATTTTTGATGTAAACATATTTTAATAGACTTTTCTGCACTACAGGCTAAGACTACAGGCCTTATTTCAGCATAGGCTTTACTTGTATCAGGTACCTAACATTTCACCTCAATAACACCTGGGGGCCATTCGCCTAACGGAAATTCTTTGGAAAACGCTAACGCTTACGATTTCATTTTGTTATTTCTAGCCGCCTGAGGTTTTCAAATGCCTCGCGCTCTTTTTTTTCTTTTGCATTGGTAATAACAATATTTAAAAAAATGAGCGTGAGGTATTTAAAAACTTTCGGCGGTCAGAAATAACAAAATAAAATCGAAAGCGTTAGCGTTTTCATAAGCATTTCAGTTAGGCGAATGGCCCCCTCGGCTGGACGTTTATCGTAAGTATTGTTATTATCAACATTAAACTTAAGCTTTATAAATCTAATAAAAATTTGGAAATCAATAAAATCAACGTCCAGCAAGAAATATAACCCTTTGAAGCCTAGACAAGTAACTACTAAATTACAAACGTTGCAAACGTTTTTTTTTTACTGGAGAGTGATGTTGAAACTGTCTTTAGTCAATACTTACGTCCATAATCTTGCAGATGTCGCTTTTAGAGCCTCCTAGTGACTTCGCCAGTTGCTGCTTCAGCGCTGCCACTTGCTTCTCGAGGTGGTCCCGCTGCCGATTAAACTCTCGGATGGCTTCGTCCTCTGCGATTCGACTGCGCACGAAATCTATATCCTCCACGTATTTGTGGAATAGTGCCTGTGTAAACAATTTATTTGATAAAAAAAACTCCTTTGGTCCACAAGAGTGGTAACAGTTTATTGCGAGTTTACCGCTCGCATTGGAGATTTCGTAACTTGAAAGAACCGAACCAAGACACTTATATAATCATAAGAAAAATAGAAGGCGTTTGAAGAGAGAAACTGGGTTCCATCTCTTTAAATCGAATTGAGCGCGCAACGCGGACGAAAGTTCGCTGTGTGCGTTGCTGCGTTTAGTCACATAAGTTCTATTTTTTCTGGACAAAGTATGGGGGTCCATACTTTGTCCAGTCCGATCTCGGTGTCCTCGGTTGTTCGGGGGATTTTTTGCAAGCGGTACTTTAAATCCCTCGTGTGCGTCCTTGATACAGCTGTAAGCGATCTATTTTGGCGGATAAAAGAATCCGTGGACAGAAGTCCCTCGACTGCGCAGGCCATAATTGTGCCAAATTTCATTCAAATCCGGCCAGTAAGTAGTTTTTGCGTAATTGCGTAACAAACTATTGTCGTTTTGAGACCTCCGTGGCCGAGTGGTTTGTGCGCCGGGTTTCATGGTATCGCTGACTCGAGAGGTCCCGGGTTCGAATCCCGGTGCGGGCAGATGTTTGTGTGATGAATACGAGCATTTGTACTCCAGTCATGGATGTTTAAATTGTATTTCTATATAAATATACTTATATATGTGCAGTTGTGTATTCTATCCGTAACCCTAGCATCCCATAACACAAGCCTTACAGTGCTTACTTTGGGGCTAGGCTGATTTGTGTGTTGGAAATATTTATTTATTTATTATTATTATAACTTTTACATTTATAAATATTAGTGGAATAATTATAGTACCTACCTATAGGTAAGTACTTACTTTAACGTTGAGTTTCAACTTCGTCGGATCTTGGAAATTTGCAGTCATATTGTGCAAATCTATTTTTATTTTCTTTAACGTATTCTTCAAAGTTAAGTTTCGATCTGCCTCATTTAAGTAATCTTTTTTTGCAGACATTAACTTCTCGTTCAGTTGATTGATTTTAAGTTCTGAAAGCAATGTTGCCTTCTATTTTATTTTAAACACAAGTTATCGAAAAAAGGAAGATATAGGAGCATAGAATGAGTATAGTATATTTTATGTATGAAAATCTTTTCATAAGTGAAAAAAATCAAGAAGGAATCAGTCGAGAACTTTTGTATGGAAAAAGACATTGCCCACCTTACCTATCATTAACGGTATTTGAGATTTTTGAAATTTAATTTGAAAAGATCGTTTTTAACATTAAAAATTTTATTTCCATAAAAGTGCATATATCGTATTAAATTTTTGTAATATCGCAATAGAAAACATTCTGTTTTCCCAAATAAATAGAGTATAGATAAAGGAGTTCTAAAACTACCTACACGTTTCTATATTTTTTAAAATACCTTGACATAAAATAACATACCTATCTACATTGTTCTGTGTCATACAAAGTGTTCAATAATTAACACAAGCCTAGCAACTTAATGATAGCAAACAACATGCCCGTGTTAGTTACCTATACAAAATAAAATGGATGTGGGTTAAATAAATTTGTGCCTTCCTGATTATAGAACTTAAAAAACAAAATGCTATAAACGGTACCTATCTATCTACCTAATTACAAAATAAAACTAGTGTTGACAACGAAAAAAATTACAACTGCTTCTAAGAAATAAATTGTATGATAAAGTTACATTTACCACGAAAAGCTCTTTGTTTTAGGAGGCTTTCTAGAGAAATTTCCAGGTCTAAAATTCGAACTTTTTTCTCTTTTATATCTCGATCAAGCGGATCTATCTGTTTGGAAATAAATAACCGTTATTATAATCTTTAATGTTGCTGTTAACTTCAGGTCTGCTCGTGTCTCTTGAAACTGCTATATTCGTTTTAGTTGCATCTGTATGTATGCTATAGTGAAATAATCGGCAATAATGAAAAAAAATTATCTGAAGAAGTTTAAAGAGAAACATTTCTGGTAATGACATGAGGTGTGGGACTTACTCACGGGATATAATACCCAATTAATATCTCATTCGTTGATTGATATACGCCGGTGTTGATAGAAATGGGCATAACGAAGAAAATAATTATATTGCATTAAGTAGAGGAACAGCTGTAACTTTTTTCAGTCGACTTGGAATAGTGCACTTTACTTAAACGATTTAAACGCACGAGTTCAAAACCATTTAGCGTTGTTCTGTGAGTAAGTAAAATATTACAGGATGTTTATATAGTGTTATTATCTAATGCGTCACTAGTTAATTTTGATGTCTATAAAAACGGCATCTAGGTATAATCCTGTATCATTATTATTGTATTGATAGTCAGCTGAAATTAAAATATGTAGATATTATACTCTTTACTTTTTATTTTTATTGCACAACTTAATTATTAAGTAAAGATAATGTAAGCTATAAAGGCTTATCTCTAATAAGGATCTTTTACAGCTATCCAGTTTATTCCCGAAATAATAATTCTTAATTAATAATAAATAAAACAGTTTGATGGTTATCCTTCTATGGATTTACTAATGGGAACTTTCGAGGACCTACCTAAGCTCAACTTAACGGTTTTGAACTCAAGCACGCAAACTAAGTAAATGTTAGGTACATTAGGAAGAAGATGAATATTTTCAGTCGGATCATACCGAGTTCATGTTTTACATTTAGTAATTTTAGTTCCTCGTTTTCCATGTCGTCAATTTGAACCCTTAATTCTCTTATAGTTCGTTCTTTAGGTTCAATCTACAGGGAGGCAAGCTTAATTAAATTTGACAAATAATGAAGATTATATATAATTTTTAATTAAATTTGTACACAGCTAAGCTTATCTTATACTTAGATCTTTTTCATTGAAGATTCGGAGATTGGAGTAAGTAAGACATGCGAAGTGCAATAAATATAAAGGCCCACCTGATTTTTCAACTCGGTAATTTTAAAGTTCAACACGAATTTATATTTCTCTAATTCCTGTTTCTTCCGTTTGAGTTGATATATTCTCTTCTCTTTATCTTGAATTGTTCCATCACGTTCAGATATTTCCTTTTTCAAGTCTGCTACATCCCTCTCAAGTGTAGATATGACTTTTTGAAATTGTACATGTTCAGCTTTAAATAATGGAAACTTTATTAAGTAACTTCAAAAATAACTAAAATCGAAAACTCGTTCAATAATTTAGCGATGATTCCAATATGTTCAAAACCCTGAACTTATTGCGAAAATGGCAATTCGAAACATATTTTAATGTATTCATCAGATTTTTCTTTTTCGACTAATAGTCGTGACACTATCTAACTTAGGGAAGCAACGTTTTGCATAGAGAATAGAACAAGACTTTTTTATTGTAATTAAATGGTAGTAGAAGCAATCATCATCATCTCATATATGTATATAATTCTCGTGTCACAATGTTAGTTACCATACTCCTCCGAAACGGCCTGACCGATTTTTATGAAATTTTATATGCATATTCCGTGGGTCTGAGAATCGGCTACTATTTTTCATATCCTTATGTGATAATGGTTGTCCACCTGTAACGTAGTGTTCTGAAACCTACAATGCGCAAAATTCAAACTATTGGGTATTGTAACGCAGTGTTCTCATATGGGTTAGGAGGAATGTTATCCCAGAAAATTGATAGAACACTACGTAACACACCCCTAAAATTTTTTTGGAATATACCTATTTATTTTTTTATAATGTGGTATTAATAAATACATACATCCCTAAATTTTCTCTTCTACCACCTGCCCCTATTTTTATGGCGGTACGAAGTTCGCTGGGTCAGCTAGTATGTTTATATATATTTATTTTATTTACTAGCCGTGCCCCGCGGTTTCACCCGCGTTTTTCTCGTTTCCGTGGAAATACCGACATAAAATATATAGGTACCAACTCTTAACATCTTACACACGTGATAACTTTTAAACGAAATATCCGATTGAGATGAAACAAAAGTATTTTACTTCTACATAAATACTCTAGATAACATAATGCTTAATTTCGATAAAGATTAATATTACGATACATATTTAACGTAGTTTTTTTTCTTCAGACGATTTAATAATTATTTTGAACACAAAATCGGTTATTGTGATTAAACCATGATAGCTAGATATATGTTCTCGCGGACTTTTTTGTAGGTCTTAATGGGATCTACAAACCCGTAGTACATCATTTTGTTCTATTGTCAATAGTTTTTGCAGCGCACGCAAAAATAGGTTTTCGATTTTACACCTTGTGTTACAAAATAGCAATTGTATTAGAGATCCGTAATTTTGAAAAAAAAAAATAGCCTATAGCCTTCCTCGATCGAACCCAACACTGAAAGAATCACTCAAATCGGACCAGTAGTTCCAGAGATTAGCGCGTTCAAACAAACAAACAAACAAACTCTGCAGCTTTATAATATTAGTGTAGATTATATTTATGGAAAATATTATAATGTTAGGAGAAGCCCAGAAAATAATTACTGACTTACCATCGTTAACAGCGCATACTAAAAAGTTTTTGTCAATAGAGCAATTTCTCTCATCTTTCTACGTACCTTTCAACTGTGATATTTGATGCTTGAACTCATCTATTTCTTTGTTGGCACTGATCAGTTTCTTTTTCATCAGCCCCGTCTCTCCCTTAAGTCGCACATTGGCGTCTTTCTCCTCCTTCAGCTGGACTTCGTATGCTGTTCTAATCTCAATTATCTCTCGATCTGCATCTTCTTCAATTGATGCCTTGATAGTTTCATGTTCTTTGGTTTCCAAGTCTGCTTGCTCTTGTAACTGTGTGAAATAGATACTTATTTTAAATAAATAATACTTATTTTTAGATACTTTTTCTTGTCGACCATCTGTAAAGAGGACTTTAAATTATAATAACAACACTGTAGTGCATCTACCGCAGTACCTGAGAACAAAGAATTGTATGTGTTTTGGGATTTCTTTTTTAAACTCTTTAAACAGTTTTATGTTAAATACCTAAATAAGGTGGGTGGACCATGGAAGGCCACTCTAACGAATAAACAGTTTTTATTAGTTCTTTTACTGGATAAAAGAAAAAAACAAATTATTAATTAACACTTTGTTTTACTACTTTTGTGTAACATATAAATTACTTTATTAATTCTAAATGTAATCACTATTTATTAAACTTACCTTTAATTAAGCTCTTCCAAACGGCCATACTAGGAATAGTTCTCTATACAAGGCTTATATTAGAAATCAGTTGTTCACTTAAAACTAGAGTTGTAATTATCGAAATATTCGCTTTTACTAAAACTACATCAAAGCTTTTTCATTTAAACGAAACATGCTTAACTGATTATAATATTCTTTAAAAAACTCAACGAATATTCCTTGAACACTATCTAAGAATATATCAATGAAAATTATTTAAAAAATATGGTTTTGATATATCAATAACAAATAAGTTTTCAATGCTTTTTGGAATGCAATTTAATAAAAAAAAAATAGCCTATAATGGCTTTTTTATAATATAATGGCCAGATTTTTTAACCCCAATTCTGTTGTACTCGAATTTTTGAAACTATATAGATACGATAATGTTTAACTAAAAAGAAAAACTTACTTTCTACGAAATACCATCTTATTTTTGTCATTTCACTAGATTTGTTTAAGGAAATGAAAAAATTGTGTTATTATTTTAATATCCTCCGCGATTTTTTCAAATCAATTAGAAATTTGACCAAATCTCTGTTTTTAAAATGTACCTGCGACATTTACATTACCTAGGCAAAGTACCTATGAAATAGAAAATAATAATTACCTATAATATATCACACATTGCCTAGACACCCCAGGCATTCTATACATTACCAAGGCACTGTATAGGAATGCCTGCATTATACAGATTGCCGGTAACATATACAATAAACATTCAGTAGTTGAATATAAAGTATTTATGCCCTTTCAGTACTGTCTTTTATTGTCTTAATGAGCTGATTGATAGGCGCTGCACTAGGGCAACGACTGCGCGCAAATAATGGCAATATCGTCAGAAAGGTTTGAGGAATTGTTATTTTCAATTCTCATAGGTACTTTAGATTTCGAATTTCATTTGCCCGAGTTGTAAATAACTTTTCAATTTTTTTACTTGTTTGATTAAAAATATTTTTTTACGCCCTTCATTCATATAATATACCTGCTTACTGAACTTCGGATCATAAAATCTTTAACGGAAGTCTGACTTCAGTAAAATCGTTTTGTGACCCTGTTTTTATTATCACTTGCATCGTTCTTTTTGTTAGTTCGTAATAATACCTACTGACAGGTTATTAGGTATCTAACTATATATAGGTGCAATAGTTTTTTCTTCATCCACCGACTCTAATTGTTCAAGAAAATCAGCTGTTGACATATTGTCTGTTTTTTTCAACCCCAGTCCACGTGGGCGTCATGGATTCATGGTAGGTATAGATAGTATTTTAGGTAAATATAGTATTGGGTGTGGTTAGTTTAGGTCCTTGGGGTCTAAGTAATTGTTCTAATTTTCTCTCTGCGATCCCCGTCTGAGATTAAGCAAAAATCAATGTGACATCACTTAGGCTAATAAATATAAGGAATGAAAGGGATCGCGGAAGGAGTAAAAGTTACATAATTATGCCACTGGAATATTATGTATACCTAAACTGTTATTTTTCTTACCTCTTGTAATAACAAATCTTTTTCCTCGAGTTTTGCTTCAAACATATTGTTGATTTCTCTAAGAGCCAGTCGCTTGCTTTCAGCTAAATCTTCTAACCTTTGTTCGTAATCTTTCCGCATACGAGCTGTTTTATCTTCTAGAGTCTAGAAAAAATAAAAATAACATCAATTCTGATTTTTTATTAGGTCCTATACAGGTTAAAATTTTCGATTTCTAATCCAAGAGTAGGTTTTAAGTAAATAACAATAGGTCCAAGTTGTTAAAGGGGGGTTTTCTGCAAGTAAGTAGGTACCTATAAGTTTTACTGAAACAAGATAATTTAGGGTTATGGTTATTGTAAAAGCAGTGAAACTTTTTTTAAAGAGTGAATAGTAAAAAAACAAGTATCTTAGAGTAGCCATAGATCCCATAGCTCGCATTTGCCTCTGTTGTCCTTACTGTTTATGTATGCATATCTTGCTATCGGTGTGCTGTCAGTGGCTAGAAATAAGTTTTGGCCTAAGTTATTGATTTTACCTTTTAACATCATCACCACAATAATGTATTCTGCGTCACCATGCTTTTTGTTTGACAATGTTTTTTACGGTTTTAGGATTTCGCAGCTGTTATTCATCATGTCCGTCCGTTCTTCTGTTCGTTTATCTTAAACATGAGGTGGAGATGTTTTTCTTTCTCGTCTATCCTAAGTGCAGGGCTGATTATTCTTTTCTTTGCTCATTGAGTTTAGTATAATACAAGTATTCTATTGAACTTTCTCGTATATCCGAAAACAAAGGTTCACCTAGTAGGGAAGGGAGGGAGACACTCATTTATATAATTGAAAAATCTTTGAATTATTATTAAGTATTATACTAAACTCAATGAACAAATATAAAAAACTTCCCAGTATCCGGCAACTATGGTACCCACACTTTTCTCTCCATTTTCTCTCTAGTCTCTACAGATTTGTTTAAGTTGTAGTTACCTGATATCTGTCGTATTCGCTGATGAGCCTGATGTTGAAGTCTGCCTCCAACGCCTGCAGAGTCCGCTCGTGACCCGACCGAAGCTTCTGTATGTCTTGTTGAATCATGCCTATCTCATGAGTATGCTCGTTCTCCATTTGCTATTAATATAACAGTGTAATAATGTATGACATTTACAAGGTAAAATAATAATAATAAAAACATATTTTAAATGGAGTAGGCACTTTTAGGCATACATTCCTTTACAGAGGAAATCGGTACAGTACCTAATATTGGTTTTTAAAATTACATTTAGAACTTATTTCCTCGAATATGAATAAAGAGGAAGGTAATACTTATAATTTTTTTAATTATTTCAGGTTTTTTATCACCTCGTTCTTTTCTTTAAGTTCCTCAATGGCTGCGCAATAACCTTCGTGAACTTCCTTTAACTTCTCCGCTTGCATAGCTTCTGCTTGTCGAAGTTGATACGTATGTTCTGTTTCAAGTTCGCTCATCCTTGTGCTCAGCAGCTGAAAAGGTGTTATTTCAATAAAGCAAGTGATGATTATAGACCGCGTCTACTCCTAGAATTAACTTAATACTAACGTTGATGCTATTTATCTTTTCTTGCAAATCCTTCTTGCTTATCAATATTTCTTTGGAATAAGCGAAGTCCTTGTCCAACGCTATAGCCCTGCCGTCTGCATTCGTCAGTCGCCATAAACATATCGAGGAATCCTCTGCGACGGAAACCAAAATCTGGTCGTCGTAAGATAAAGCTAGAGCTGTCACTTTCTTGTTGTGCATGTGGAATTCGTTGAACACTGCCTTATCTAGAAGAGGAAGCTGCACCGTGGTCACCCCTCCTTCTCCGCCAGTAATAAACAGCATCATGTCGGAACGAGATAGAACGATTGTATCTAGTGCGCATCCAATTAGGGGCAGGTTTCTTCGGATCGTGTTTGAACCGATTTCCTTTATTTCGCCATCAGTTCCAACTCCGTAAGTAGTTTTCCCAACGCTGAAATAAGTAACAGCCAATATTTTTTCCATTACAAGCTCTTACACAAAAGAAAAAAATCATGAAAATAAAATAGGTACCAAGTATAGAGTTGTGGAAAAGACACGCCTCAAAGAAAGAAGAACGCGAGGTTTGGAATGTGGAGCACATTCCTCAAGGCTTTCAATGGAATGTGCTCCTCAAGGCTTTCAATTTGATATCATAATGTGTTTATGTTTATAAAGTTTTAAGAAACTAATACTCAAAAAATGAATACCAAAGGGCTGGCATTAGTTATTTATTTTGTAATAACCTGTTTACGGCGCAGGCGTTGAATTGATTGGTCTTTAGGATGACCTCGCCGACGCGCTGCCCAGTGGACATGCTCCACTCGTATACGGCGCCCTCGCTGCCGCATGACACCAACGATAGGTCGTTCGCCGACCACGCCAGAGATGTCACCTTGCAACAGAATTGTTCCATTACAACATAGTATTTTTACTAGCAGTTAAAACTGCAAATAAAATACCTACAATATGATAACTTCGCACAACAACGATAGGTCGTTCGCAGTCAACTTGCGACAGATATAATTTCAACATAATATTTCTACTTAAGGTGGACTAAATAAAATACCTCAATAGGTACTTCATCATAACTTCACACACCATATTATATAGGTACTTAGCTAAGTTTGTAACCATTTAAGCAAGGTCCACACGCGTAATATAAAGTAGAAATTTATTTTATTTCAAGTTCATGGTAGGATTGTTCCAAATGGGGCATTTTGTATCAATTATGTAGCTCAAAATATCGTTAGCATATGTATTTGGCAATTATTTATATTTATACATTTATTTTTTGTTAACGCTTAATACATGTATCATACATTTATTAACAATACTTGCATCAAACTAGGTTGGATAAACAAAATATGTGAAGTGAAAAAAGTGATTTATATTTGTAATATACTCGTTGTCTATGCAATGTGAACGAAATAATGTCTTAAACAGTCGCAACAAGTATTCCACAAGTTTTGTATAAAACGAATTCGTTTCTTGGTGTAAACGAGGGGTAAAGATTTAGCAGGACCTTTAAAAAAATGTAGCCAGAAGGATAATTTTGAAGCTGTTGCAAGTCAAACGCTACGACTTACCGAATGTGATCTGTCAGGCGAAACGCCTCAATTTTCATGTTACTGTATATGACCAATTTATATAATTTTGATGATGTTAATATTTAGCCCCTGTTCCTGATCAGTAGGGATATTTGGAATATAAAGTTCCAAATAACCCAACTGGTAGCGATAAATGGAAAAACTCCAGAGTATCCCTACTAGTGGAGATATGTCAGTAGGGATTTAAGGAATAGGGAATATTTAGAAGGTAATTTTTAGGACTACGTACAAAAATTTTAACTCTGTTGAGTGACCTAAAATAAAGAAAGTCCAATCAGTTCTCAGTTAGTGGGCCCTCTATTCTTACGTGTTTTTTGTAGTTTAAAATTGTATCCAAATATTATTGCTTAAAATAATAAGTATTTAAAGAAATATCCTGCTTAATTTCATTCTGTTATGTTATGTTATGATACACGTAGTATGGTAACCACTTTAATATTTTTTATGACACTCGAAAGGAAAGTATATGCTATAGAATAGTTTGGCTGTTATTTTAATTGTGAACTATATTCTTAATTTTAATCTACACATAAATAATTTTGATGATAAGATAAAATTTACCTAAGTACTGAAAAAAGTTACGAAGTGCAAAAATATAAAAATGAATTACAATTAATTGGATCTAAAGTCAGTCAATTTCTTATTTACATTCCATAAATAAAAAATGTAAAAATAAGATACTTACAGAATAATGAAGTACCTAAGCATGTCTATATATCTGTCGACCTTTATCCACATGCGTCATACGTCATCGTCAAAACGTGATGTCAATTTGTAACTTTAAATGTTCGCTAACAAATAACTCAGTTTATTAGGTGTCTCAAGTTATGTTAATAACACAAGCGGTCTAAACCAAACCTGTCCATTTTTTCTACCGCAGTACTAACAAACGAATAAATAAATAATTTCCGTGTGCGTCCCACGCCTGTTACTGAAACTGCAATTACATCTTGGATGATAGACAGGCAGACACAGATGTTTATCAAAAGAGGAGTATTAAATACATTTTGTCGAAGAACAAGACGTTAAATGAATTGTCTATAAATGATTAACTTAAAAAGAAATCTGTTGATAGGTACAACTTTAAGGTGCTGTCCAAACGTATGAGAACTTATATGGCATATGGAGACTGTGATGGCATAATAAATCTGTCCTTACTGAGACGATCCTTTGTGGACTAGACATTTATTTACTTTCTTATAATATTTCAACAAACAGTCAACATTGTTCAAATCTCATATCGAAGTGTACGAGATTTCTATTAACCTCCTCGTATCATGTATAGAGACTGCTAAATCTCGAACGTTAGTTCCTATACGTTTGGCAACACTGCGCGGCGCGGCCTCACCCGCGACAATACAGATCGTCGGACAGCACCTTTATTCAATATCACATGTAATATCGATAACTCTATTTCTTTATTTTGAATAATTTAATCAGATGCAGTATGAAGATACAGATACTTTCCATTAAGGTATTAAATAGTATATTTTGCACATTTTAAATGTATAATTTATTCGTTAATGTATATATCACATAGGTAATTGGGTTTGATAAGTAGTAAGATAAACTTTATTGACCTTTTTGCAGTATAAAGTGTCGGTTATTAACAATTACACATCATTATGCTGTACTAAGAAAACAGATGTTGTTAATCTCTTAATGATTATAAGTTCTTAGGTACCTAGTTATTAAGAAAAAAAAAACATATTCCACCTGGAGTTTATATAAAACATACGATCACATTTTTTTCCGTGCAGACAGTAAAAATGTATCAGCTCATAGAGCACTTTTGGAAAAGGCGACTAACATACTCGTATAAAACAGTTTACGTATCTTAATGAAGATGTTCCACCGTTAATGTTCATAGCGTTAACCTATTTGTTAATACATAAGTAAATGTAGAACAAACCTTTCCATTGTGACCTTTCAAGTTATAGACATTTTGGAAAGACGTCGATGAGAACACTTGTATGACTTGTCCATTCACTGCGGCAAATAGATGACCGTTGGTGCTGAACTTTGCTCGTTTACAATTTCTGATAGGGAATTCTCTCATCACTTCGAAGTCGTCAATCAGTACCACCATAAAGCGCAATTTATCAGAAAATCCGACTATGGCGAAGAGACCTATGGAAATCAACGAAATACAATAGAACGGCCGTACTCAGAGAGGTTAAATAAATTTAATATAATTTAAAGACATATGTTGTCTCATTAGAGCAGCTCGGTGGCGCAGGTGGTAAGCGTGATTAGCCTGCAATCGTGGAAGTTAAGCAACTTTCGCAATAGCCGGTCATTTGCTGGGTGACCAAAAATTTTTTATCTCGAGCTCCTCGGTGCTTCGGAAAGCACCCACCGTGGGTCGTGGCCCAATCTCAACACAGGCTTTCCCTATCATCCATAAGGAAGTCTTGTGCCTCACAGCAGTGGATACATTTAAAGGCTGATATTATAAATACGTCTCATTCTTGACTCACATGTAATCGCAAAGAAAATGACGAAAGAAAGTGAAAAACGATTAGTACAGCGTTAGTTGACAAATAAATAAAATGGTACGTATACTTAATTAAATACTATCAGCAGGTTTCGTATGTGCACAAGCTACAACCTATTAACCTCATTTTGCATATCTTTGTGTTTGTTATTTTTGTGTAAATAAAATGAACTAGATCGAATTTAAACTTCGAGTAATTGTAATATAAACATCAGACAAAAGCCGAACTTCAATGTCCAAAAAAATAATTTGTTTTCTAATTATTTACTTAATACTTTACACCTTTACTTTTCATGAAACCTTAATAACCCTGTAGTCTTACAGAGAATATAGACATACCATCTTTATGATGACTCCAGATTTATAGCGCCACGTAATGTTTTTGTTGGTGTCTGCATTATTAATGTGAAGTAAACAAAGCTGTTTAATGTGCCCGAAAAAATCGGTGCCGATCACATGATGCGTAGGTAGGGTAGGTAGGCACATTAACTAAGAATACATAAGTACCAGTTGGGTGCAATGAGACGCAGTGAATTTCTTCCTGGTAGAGTCTTATAAGCTCCACGTCGTCGGTCATATAGTTCCAGATTCTGATGCTCTTGTCTTCCTCCCCCGAAGTCATGAATATTGGCTTCCAAGCGCACATTGATAAAGAATTTATACGCCCGTAATGCATGGCTGGCCCAAGTTCCATAAAAGGGATTTCCGGATTCTAAAGCATAGAGTTACTTGTTGAACCAAGATCAGACAGTGTCATTACACTATCATAAACGACAACAATAATATAAGGTAAATAAAACAACACCAGCTTACATCTGCTTATGTCTCTAGGAAACGGGGATTTTTTGAAATACCGCTCAATTTTTTTTTGGCCAAGTTTATTTTTAATACTTTTTGAGAAGCCAATAATGTGCTAGATACTTTTTAACTTGATTTAAGTGTAGGTAAGTCCGTAGCAACGTAGCCGAGGTTCGAACTCAGTCCGTTTGGTTGGATCATGCTTGTCAGTCAAGAAGATAACGTTTGCCTTGTAAGTTTAACAGACTCTGCCCTCTAGCATGATATATAACTCGTTTTTATCACCCTCAATTGTCAAATACTATGGAGATTGACAGATAGACGCGATAAAAAACGTAATATAATTTAAATTGTGATGCTCATGCTACGGGGAAGTGGATATTTTATATTGTACTAGTGTGTGCCCGCGACTTTGTCTGCGTGGAAAAAATGGTTTCCCATACACACTTTCACGTCCTTTTTAGTGGTGATTCTAGTATAATAATTATAGATACTACGCCCTTTGCCGTGACTAGAACTCTCTATTCCGAATTTTATTAAAATAAAATTTGATAAAATAAATAAAAATTCAATGGGTTAAGCGGAAGAGCTAACAGACAAACAGACAGACTTTCGCATTTATTTATTAGTATGGATAGACAATGTTTCTCATCTTACGTACCTGCAGCATGTGCTGTCCAAACAATTTGACATGGTACAATTGTTTGCGCAGAGTTGTGATCAAGAGTGTCTCTTGATTCGGGTCCACAGTTATATGTTGAATGGCATCCAGCTCCGACCAAACGGGATGCTCACGCGTGTGCCTGATAAACATTACATAACATCTATTTATTGCCAAAGAACTGACATACATCTAGTTATGAAGATAAATGGAAGTTATTTTAAGTCATTATATTGTTTGCGTTATAAACTACGATGTGTCCGTAGGTAATATGAGTAGTCTTTATCAAAACAATATCTACATACAGAGCTTCGTTTATCTTCTTGTTTGCATTTCGTAGTTATTTTTTTGCGTTATGGAGATATAACGCCTCTTAGCTTCTGATACCGAATCAGCAGGATTAATCATTGTCCTTCAATGAATTATGTTTACCTTGTTACATCCAAACAATTTAGCACTTTGAAATTGCTCTGTAAGTCACATTTTTAAATTTTATATTTTTATTAATTAATATAGCACATATACCTGTATCAGAAGCAGCATAGCCAGTTATGGCATCTTTTTTGTGCAAATTAGCATAAAGATTATCTTAAGTAAGATATGTTAGGACATCGGGACTTTTCTTGAATTTTGTCCCTGAAATGTGTTATAAATAGAAAAAGCATACTTGTATGATTTTTTTGATATTCTATAAAGGTTCCTTTTCCTCCAATGATGTGGCGTTTCTTTCTCGAACATGTGCACGTAGCCTGGACCGCAAGAAAAGGCGAAACCTGTATCCATCAAAGTTGTATATTTCCCCAATGGTTGTGATGATAATTGATTTATGCATGGTGTGTAAATTCTTAAAGAAAATATTAGACTTATCTTTTTATATATATAAATGAATCCCTAATTTCTTTTGTCACGCCATAACTTTAGAACAACTTTACCGATTTCATCAATCAAGTTTTCTAATCTAATAGGTGCGTTTACTCTTAAAAAAGAGGATCTCATCAAGCTTTTATCACCCACACCAATATCAACTTTTTTTTTATTTTATTTGTTTAATTTTCAATAGGTATTTTGTAGCAGGTTCTTACGTAAAAAAAAGTTGGAAGTTGGTAAATTATATTAATTCCATTTCTAATGCCTTTGACCCTTAGTACCCTAATAGAAAAACTGAATAGTTTTGCCTCAAATAGATAATATTGGAGTGCGTGTCGCCCGCCTGATGGAAAGTTATAAACTTGCCTTAAAAAGAGAAGAAACTTCATTCAAAATTCACTAGAGATTATGATGAGTAGATCGTGATTGTATACTTGAGGGTTCAAAGAAGCTATTAGCGAATTTCATGACTACGTTGTACGCAATAAAGAAGAAGAAAAGCCTTTAGTGCGGGCTCGTGACATTGAAAAGCTTGTGATATGTACCTTTAGGAAAGTTAACAAAGTTCGTGACTGGGTAGGCTTCTTCGAAGAGACTCGTTTCTTTCTCACTACTCGTATCCTGCTTACTAGACGTGCTCTCTACTGCATCTTCTGCCCTGTTATAAGGTATCGTATCAAAAGTTTATAAACTGCGATTGCGCACCAATATGCAGTTAACACCAGTATGATTTTTAACTAAAGAAACATGCCGGTGACTGATTTTAAGACAATTAAATCGACTTTATAAAAATTTCTTTTAAAAATCGATATGAATTATATAAAACTTAATAAAGACACTACTTAGGTTCTTCTGACTTCCAAAACAATTAAGCCTTCCGCCCATAGATGCGTTATTATCGGTCGATAATATCGGATGCGTTATTGCGATATTTGGTAATACTTCTATTGTGAAGTTATTATCGCAGCAGTGTGTTACTTCGTAGCCATTCTTATAGATAATGTCCTTAAAAAATATCGCAAAAACGCATTGATCGCAACGCTTAGTATTGATCGATAACGCGCCTATGGGGAGGGAGGCTTAATGCCATAAGTATAATTCACTTACTCAGCCTCAACTTTCTTGAGAGACATCTCAAGAACTTCGGCGGCCTTGAACATGCAGTTCTGTCGAAGCTCTCCATTCTCTACCATCATGATCATGCCGTTGTCTGTCCCGAACAAGATGCGATCCGCCGTCAGCCACATGCAACTGGTTATGTTTATCTGATGCGGAAGCGATAATATACTTAACTTCATTTGTTTCTCTCGTATCATTATTAGATATGTAAGGTCATTCGTTTCTCTAGTATGCTGCGCATAGTTGACTGACAGTCAATTGTTGAAAGATTTAAGAATATTCTTAAAAATTTGTTAAACGCTCAAACAAAATATAGAAAAAAATATATTTACTTTGTAGAAAATCGTTAACGTACACTCGATTGTACACTAATTTTTCCTGTTCTTTGCAATCTGCTTTGTATTTGAGGAAGAAATGGAAAAAAAATATTGTTTTTTTTTATTTCAAATTACAAACCTAACCTAATTTAACCACACACGTTACTGTTCTTTTTTATTTATTTTTCTCCTGATTTTCCAGAATTATATCGAAACTTTTCATGAGGAATGTTCAGGAAAAGCGGCTATAAAACATAAACTATATATGTTATTCCTTTTATAATATATCTTATGATCTAGATACTCAATACTCATAATTTTTGGTCGTATTTTCCGACTGTCCCTTGTGAGTTTTTTCCCTGTAAATGCTTTGTAGGCTCACTAATGAAAAAAATAATATCACATATCACAGAATAAATATTACAGAACACACGATATTCTTGAGAATGTCCCCATTATTTTTTAAAAGAAAATCTCATCTCATCAAAAGAAAAAAAAAGTTAAGCAGATCGATTAGTAAAGACATAGATTTTTTTTGTTTCAATGGGCTGCTATTTTTCCCTACTAAAGAACACTGCGAGGCAATGTAAGTCGTTGCGGCAGAGATGAATATCACACCAGCTATCCTCGCTTTGTCAGATTCTATTTATTTTCTTGCAAAGGACTACTTACGCTCTGTATAGTTTCGTAACCTTACTTATGTATACAGCATTTCAAATTTTTTTGTAAAAAGGGTGGCAAACAAGCATAATGCCCGACTGACGGCAAGCGGTTTACCTACAATAGCATACAGAAGCTTGTTAAAAAAAATATCACACGCGCCATTGCCTACCCTGACTTAATCCCCTACCCCGTGAAGCCCTGGCACCTTACTCATCGACAGAAACACAACACCACAAAAAGGTAGTTATTTTAAATAATAAATGAATAAAATATTTATATATATAACAACAACAAAATCACTCATAAAGCTATTATTTATTCGTTGATACCCGCATTAGTCTCGAAGACTGTGTCGCAGGTATCAGCGCCCAAATTACAAACCAACCAGATGTTTTTAATACTAATTCTGAGAGATAACTTTTACACTGAAAATCAAAGTTGAAAACAGTAATCTGCGCTGTGTTCTTCTGTAAGGTGAAGGTTACTTCGCCAGACAGGTGCTCCAATTCGAGCGGGAAATCCGCTATGCCCTATCTCTCTTAATAGTGTGCTCTATAGGTACCTTTTTAAGTAAACGTGATAGTACTGACCGACGGAAGTTAAGCTTTTCTGTCATTGGAAGCTCTTTTTCTTATTTTCGTTACAATTACCAATGACAGCCCCCTTTCCTGTGACTATACTAATCTTTCGTGAGCGATTTCGGACTCGCAAACAATTCGAATTCGATATTGGTTCGTACAAGGGGTACTGCTGTAAGCCAATAAAAAATAAGAGGTTTACATTTTCCGATTTACACCATCCCCACTGTCGCCAGACTGTCTCTGACACGTTCATGATACGAAAGGTGTATGGTCCAGTGATCACCACTAAAGTAGCGTCTGATGGATTGCATTGGACCTAGAATAAAATATTATCACAAATCAAAAACAAATTCATAATATATTAACATATATATAACTAGCTGAGCCAGCGAACTTCGTATCGCCATGAAAATATGGGTGGTAGAAGGGTGAAAGTTTAGGGCTGTATGTATTTTTGTATGATGTATCATAAAAAAATATAAAAACAAAAAAAAATGTCCAAAAAAGAAAAAAAATATTTAATTAAGGACCACGCTTAACATTTAGGGGGATGAGAAATAGATGTTGTCCGATTCTCAGACCTACAAGGATTTCTCATAGGTAATTTCTACAATAAGCAAGTGCCTACGCACCTACGCACGTAAAACGAGCTGTCTCCAATATCAAGGTAGCAATGTATTTAAAATACATTTATAAGCACAATACCTAAGTTATCAATAACTAGGTATAAAATTGCAAATAAAATGTTCAAAGGTTGATCTATGTTTGTTTTAATACTGATATTGACAAAAACAGATTTCGTTTGTCTTTCTCACAAAGCATGAACTGTACACATTTTTTTTTAATAGTTTTTTATCAGGACTCAATTTTATTTTCATATACTTTTCTTTGGATTTTCCAGATTTACATTAAAATATCGATAATTTCCACATTTTTATGAGAAATATTCGAGAAAAGCGGCTAAAAAATATACCATAGTAAATTCTTATGATTTAGATACTAAAAACTCATGATTTTTTTATCGTATTTTCCGACTGCCTCTTGTGAGTTTTTTACCTGTAAATATTTTACAGGGAAAAACAGGCCCACTAATGAAACAAGACATCAACATTACGTATAGCCATAGTTCGAATTCTGAGTACTGGTCTTGAAAAATTACAGAACACACGATACTTTTTGTGAGAATCTCTATTATTTTTTAAAGTGAAAAACAATAAAAATACTATCCAGTTACATTAGTGAAGATATATCATTTTATTTGTTTGAATGGGCTGCAGTTTTTTTTCTACGAAAGAGTAAAAAAAACAGCAGCCATTCACTGCGAGCCAAAGTTAGTCGTTGTGGCAGAGATGAATACGACACCAGCCATCCTTGCCTTGTCAGATCCTATTTTATTTTCTAAGTGTGTAGTGTTTTAAGCACATTGTTTACAAATCAAGTTTATAATCAATGTGCTATGAACATATATGGCTCATATTTAAGAATTTTATTAGTATGTTTTTACTTTCTATGAGTAATAAATATATTTATAAAATACTACGTGAAAACTAGAGTGGAATGGTAGGGGTCTTGGCATATTCAGGAGGTCACTGAGGAGGGGTAAGGGGGTAAAAAAATGTAAAAGTAGGGTCACATAGTATGAGTACGTTCCCTTATAATGTTCAATTATTAAGATGCTCATGGAACGTTAAGCCTTTATTGCCAGTTTTTTTCTTTTCAAAAACAAAGGTATTATTTGGTACCGATTTCGAAAAAATAAACTTATTTCTTATTTAGCAACCGGTTTCGAAAGGTCTTTTTTCGAAACTATATTCGAAAGCAGAAATATTTTCTTTTTCGAAAACCGAAGATGAAATAAATAAAATAGTCTAATTTTAATACCACTGAAGTAGTTATACGTACAAATGCGAATTAGCTTAGGAATCTAAGTTTTTTTTTTTATATTTGAAAGCTATATTATTTTATAAATTCTCCTACATATATATTTCTTATTAAGATAACTTAGTTATTAAAAATTAATTAGTGTTTATAATTTACTTACACTTTCTACGATGCCTTGACCGCTCGGATTCTGTGCCTTCGCGTGGCTTTCGACTTTGCCTTTGTCCCAATTATAATAATATAAATACCAATCTGGTTCTCCAGTGATTGCTACAAGATATTTAGAATCGAACGTAAACTGAACACACGCAAACTCTCGGGCTGTAGAGTTTTCAAAGGGAACTGTTAATATTTTCCTTCGCTTGTATGTGGTCAAGTCGTAGATTGTTATAATGGGTTTTTGGCCCTCTTCTGCAATTTCATTTAAAGCCAACCATCGCCTAGAATACACAGAAAAGCTTTAATAAAGTTTTAATATAAAATAAAAACCACTTAGCCCAGGTGTCAGGCTGGAACCAGAGCCCTAATTCCGTTATCCAGGCGGATGCACTAACTGCTTTTCTGCCAATACCAAAGAACGAAGAACAGTATTTTCTTACCTTATCGTGCCAATATTTACTATCAGAATCTATGGCGGGCCAAGTTTTTGCTCAGGTTACTTACGATTGCCCCTAGAATATGTAAATTTTAATCATATCAAAATATAGCTCAGTAACAAATGCTAATCTAACCCCCGAATACGCTTCTGAGTTTGCAGAGAAGCAAATTAGAAGGTACCAGGTTCGGCAGTGGGGTAGTCATTTTTAGAACATGTGCAAAAATGGTAACTGTTTGGTAAATATCTTAAATTTTTGTTTGATCCTTTCGAGGGCCGAAAAAGGCCCACGGGCCGTAGTTTGCCCATCCCTGAACTAGAATTTTGTACTAGAATTTGATAGGAATAAATAGGGCTAGCCGAATAGAGGAAGGCGCTGGTTCCAATCCGATAAGGAAAAAAATAGTAGGGTACATACACTAGTACTTCATTAGATGTAGCTCACCTATTAGGGGATAGGACCAGGGACTTTATCGGTTTGTGTTTGTCTTGAAGTCTGATGAACTTCTGTTTTTTCTGCAGATGATTGTGTACGACTATCACTCCACCAGCCGGGTATATAATTTCAGACTCCGTCAAAAAATGAGCATTATACCTAAGTATAAAAAAAATATATATTTATTAATACACATAATACTCTTTAAGGCGGAAGTTTCCTTTAGTAAGTGCGACTAATTAATATCCCTCCCGTTAGATTTTATCACAGCTTCTAAAGACCATAGACCTGAGTACATGGTTTAAATATCAACTCGATACCTCTATGCGATCCCGAGATGATAGAGTCGTCTTGACAGACAGACGGCCAATAAAGTGATCCTATGAGGGTTCAGTTTTCTTCCTTTTGTGGTACGGAACCCTATCAAAGAGGCTTTTCTATTTTGTGGGCATTTTAGGTTCCAATAGCTAGACAGCTAGGTAGGTACACCCACAACAGGACACCGTCGCCGCGTCGGTCGCAATGGCACGTTAGCCATTGCATGGAACTAATATTCTAGAAATATTCAAAATACCATACATATAATAATACTTTCTGATGTAGGTAAGATACAGTCAACAAATTTAAGTTATAAAGTTTCAAAGTCAATCGCTTGTGAAGAAAGTTAAGGTAAAGCTTAAAGTCAATTGAGACAGAAATTGTCATGTTTAGTTTTTGGGAGTTTCTGTACCTTCCAACTCTTTTTTTTATATTCATACCTGAAGAAATATTAAAACTGAAAAAAATAAACTGTTTACACAATGATATTGCATGTTTTACACCGTGCTTTTGTAGAAACAACTTCTTACTGAATATCCGTGCGAAGACCGTAAAATATACGTGCTGAAATATTTGGTGCTGTTGCATTCGCCATAATACCAGATACTAAGCTAGGAGCTTCAAATGCGAATCGAATGTATGTATACACAATAATATCTATATAGGAACTTAAATGCGTTTATTTATAAAACACTGATGATTGAATATCAATCTTGTTTATCAGTTGTCATGGCAACCAGGATTGTTAATTGTCACTCTTAGCCTCTCGTTATTTGTCATGGTGATTGACAATATTGTCTATGCTTCTCCCAACTTGCGCGACTTGAAAAGAATATATTATCTAATATATATACTTTTATTCGAATATATTTATAATACCTGAATCTTTTGATCACCAACCTAGAAAAAGAGTAGTGTCGTCGGGTCCATGAAATTTAAGTTTGTTTTTAAGTTTGACTAAGAGTCCGTAACAATATGTTACTGAATATGTGTATCTGGGTCAAATTATTTCTTTTAGGGACCAGATGACTAAAGAAATCAACAAGAGGATAGCCTATGGTTGGAAGAAATACTGGTCGATGAAGGAAATAATGAAAAGCAAGAGTCTGGGGATCCACATTAAAAGGAAAGCCTTCGATACCTGTATTTTACCGTGTATGACCTACGGTTGTGAATCTTGGTCTTTAACGACGCAGCTAAGGGATAAGCTGACTCATTGTCAACGGGCTATGGAGGGAAGTATGTCAGGAGTAAGTCTAAGGGATAGAATAAGAAGTGAGGATCTAAGATCTAAAACGCAAATAACAGACATAGAATGTCTGTTAATAGAGTGGACAAACAAAAATGGAGGTGGACGGGCCACTTGCTGAGAGGTACCATAGACAAATGGAGCAAGCGAGTGACAGTCTGGTATCCTAGAGATGGAAAGCGTAGGAGAGGACGCCAGTTTAGAAGATGGAAGGATGAAATCAGCTGTACTCTGGGTCCGTATTGGACAAGAGTTGCAGCTGACAGAGGTGAATGGCGTCGGTTAGAGGAGGCCTTTGCCAAAAGGCACACAGAACTGCGTGACTTATTGTAAAATGTATAATCAATGTTATGTTAAGAAAGTTCTGAAATAAAGCCTATTTTATTTTATTTTAAGAGTCCGTAACAAAGATAGCTGATGAAACAGGAGCCTCGTTCTGCAGCAGTTACCCTTACTGTGAAATCGGGGTTTAAACCTAATTCTCTCACCCCGTTAGAATCTGGCACCGTTAATCCAGACAACAATGCAATAAAATAGCTATTTGGCTGCAGTCACCTACAATCGTCTCTACTTCATAATTGAAGTAAAACTGATTGAAGTAGAAAAGTATATTTGTTTTTTTTATGTATGTTCACCGATTTCTCCGTCAATTGTGGACCGATTTTCAAAATTCTTTTTTTATTCGGAAGAGTGCACTTCCGAGGTGGTCTCATTGGAACCAAGTCAGGATCTGATGGTGGAATCCGGGGAAATCGAGGGAAACCTTCAAATTTCAAAGGCACGCACGATGTTTTTTATGCATGTTCACCGATTTCTTCGTCAATTGTGTGATTGTTTACTTGGACGATGTAATTTTCACTAAAATGGATGAAATATTTTTTTTAAACAAAAAATTAAACCGACTTCAAAATCGAAAATGGAACGGTTTGATTTTTTGTTTATTTTTTTTTGTCAAAAACAGTTCTTTGACTTTAGATATATTTTTTTTCTTTTTCTGTCTTAAAAAATAAATTTGTTTATATGAGTAGAGTATTTGTGTTTCTTTATTTCTATATATCGGGTAGATTAGTTTAGGTCTCAGTTGTTATTTTGAACTGAAACAATAAAGCAGATTTAAAGTAGGCCAGTCTGTCGATTCCCTAGCGTAGTTTTCTTTCCAAAATTTCCATGTTGATAGATTTGAGCTTGCTTTGGAAGTAGGTAGCCTGGGGCATTTGTCGAAAGATTACCGCCCCTTAACATTATTTTGTAATGTATACAACAATTGTAGAATTTTGCCTCCCATTGAGAAATAGGGAACGAGACTGATGACTTGGGCGAACTTATCGGTATCGACTTATTATGTTACCAAATCGATGGACAGCTCGTCCATCAAAACCGTGTATAGTGTTTAACTATAATAGATTGCTAAAATAGTAAATTCAATATTTTGCCGCAATCGGGTGGAACGCCTGAATAATATTTTTTCATAGGTATAGAATATAATTTTTTGCTCAGAGAAATCGATATGGAGAAATTCGAACATTAAATCTGGATTTTTTAAACCGTCATTCCTAGTTTTTAATGGTACCTGAAGGTGATCGATTTGAAAATTGGTCGAGGAACATAGCGAAACTTCCGAAAATGGGCGCTCCAATTTTGGCGGGAAATCCACTATACCCTTTGCATTTACAATTTTAACATACCTATACCTAGTCAGGTCATAAATTCTGTCACATGTTTAATATAAAATAATTGAAACAAATTTATTCATTATGTAACCATTTATATACCAAAATGAACTTAACAAAACATAGATTCTTATGACAATAAAGTTTATTCAAAACTAGCGGTCCACCCTCGCTTCGCTTCGGTGTAGAGCTGAAGTGTAGACTACAGTTTTTGTTCTCAGGCTTGTATTATACACAATGACAGTCATCTATGATTCTTCTTATATCTGCATGCAAAGTCTCAGGCCGATCGGTTTAAAATTGACAAAGTTTCATACAAACTTTCATTCCGTATTTTATCCCCTTGGGGGTAGAATTGATCAAAATCCTTTCTTAGCGGATGCCTACGTCATAACATCTACCTGCATGCCAAATTTCAGCCCGATCCGTCCAGTGGTTTCGGCTGTGCGTTGATAGATCACTATGTCAGTCAGTCACCTTTGAGTTTTATATACCTATATAGATAGATGACCTCCGTGATTTTGAATACAGGCCTTCAATCTGCGCGGCCAGTCGTCTATCGCAGCACGAACGAGGTCCATGTCAATAATCAAGCTGCCTTAATCAAGGATGTCTTGAGTGACTCCAAATTGGGATGAGGCTTTGGGCACGCCTTTTCCGCCAAGTGTTGCCATATCTTGTAATCTAACGGACTCAAATCTGGACTGGAGGAGGGCCAGTCTTCGTGCCGAATGAAGTCGATTTCACGCGCCTCCAGCCAGTCTTGTGTGCTCTTCGCTCTATGAGCTGGCGCCTCTTGTTTCGGCTTGTCTCGGCGAATCTTTTTGGAATACCCAGTGCCTGTTATTGAACATGGTATGAGAAACAGGTTCCGCAAGGTTCGTCAGGACTGTATTTTGATACCAGCATTCTAAAAGAAAAGTTTTTACTGTGTGACAATACTTATGACCTGACTGTGTAGTTTTAATATAGCCTGTATATAGTTTTATATGATGTTTAAAATATATTGTTGTTCCCATGTTACCCTGCCGTCATAGTGCGACACGGCTGGCCAGGGTCAGCCTGCCGTGCTTCCGTTGTTGAAACGGAGTGATTACTTTCTGTACCCCTAGCACGAACCAATATAGAATTCGAATAGTTTGCGAGTCCGAAATGTCATTGTCACATGTGTACTGATTTTTAGTTCTCGTTACGTACTTTGTGGCGCTGTTGTTCAAGTTTCCATACAAAAATTGACATTAACATTTCGGACTCGCAAACTATTCGAATTCGATATTCGTTCGTGCTAGGGTTGCTGTATGTCGTTGTAGCATACATGGGCGATGCGATGCTAAATAGGAGAAAAGGTTGTTACTATTTATTTTTAAAGTATATATAAATAAATAAATGAATATTTCCAACACTCATAACAATTAGCCTAGCCCCAAAGTAAGCACTCTAAGGCTTGTGTTATGGGATGCTAGGGTAACGAATATAATACATATACTGTACATATTAGTATATTTTTTATAGAAATACATATTAAACATCCATGACTGGAGTACAAATGCTCGTATTCATCATACAAACATTTGCCCCCACCGGAATTTGAACCCGGGACCTCTCGAGTCGGCGACACCATGAAACCCGGCGTACAAACCACTCGGCCACGGAGGTCGTCAAAACAGTTTGTGCTTTTTACTTAAACAGTTTTACTTAAACTCAAAACAGTTTATGCTTTTACAATCACATACGGATGTAGAAAAACTACGCCATTGGTTCGCAAATCTACGTTGGGAGACCTCCTGCTGAGAAAAACCGGCAAGAAACTCATCATGGGTTGCTTTTTTATCCCTGTTTTATTAGTGTTGTCAATTGTTAGATGACATGAAACTTCTAAACAGATATTGCTTTTTTAGTTTTACATATTTAATGGTGTCAATTCTGGCATGATTCTCTACACTTAAAACTAAATTTAACATCGGTCTCTTCTTTTCATTCTGTATAAAGAATAACAAGGATACACTGTTATAAAATTTAAGTTTATGTTAGAGAATCATGCCAGTATCGACACTAGTATCTATGTTTGTATCTCTTATTAAGAATGGTGAATAATAGATCAATCAGCGCGCAGTTGATATACAAAGTGCACATTCTAAAGTCATGAAGACCATTTGCACGGCGCACGATTGGTCTTCAATGTCATCCTCCACGAGCATCCGCCTTGCAATTTCCGACTCGAGTCTCAGTTCTCAGCTTCCTTCGCCCATAATGAAGCTATTTTTAAAATAAAACTCCATTATTATAACACGACTCTCAAAAAACGAATGTAAGGTTTCAGTTCGTTTGTATCACAGAACGTAGAATGTGCCACTTCTCTGTTTTTTTATTTACCTTTGTATTATTATGCATTCCTTTGATTCACCATACCTTTTAAATACCTGGCAAGATTAGATGCGTATAGAGCATCGTAAGAATCCTTATATTAACATCACGACTGATTAAAAAACGTCCTTATGGTGGAGGAAGTACGAAATTTCCAAAGGAGATTTTTTTTTCAAGTTAGGTCTAGGTTCAATAGAGAATATGAATGAAATTTAAATAAGCCTCATTTTGTTTTTCTATAAATTCTATTACTTTTAAGTAGACCCTCCATCAATATTTGTTAAAAAAACAAGAAGGCGCAAGAAATTAATT